TCTCCTCCTCTAATTCATGATTAATCAAAGAGAACACCTCTGAACTGCAGTGGAACTATGCCAGTTTATGCAAGCACAAATGTTGATCTCTATCAGGGAATAAAGTATTCCAATTCAACGACACAAAGAAATCAAAACAGTATTACTGGGATAGCAAGACCACGATGGAGAAAAGTATTAATGTCTCAAGAACTTGAATACACCAGTGTCCAGCTAAACAATACAAATTAATTGTGTATTAGCTGTAAGACACTCATATGAACACTGTTCTCTGTGTTTTTCCCACTGCACTATAGCAGAAGTATGAGCTTGGAATTGATTATGGTCAGAAGCATCAACTGCTCCTTTCTATGGCTTTTATCATTATTCCCATTGCAATAAACCTTGGGATCCTTATACCCAGCCCAGGAGTCAATGGTGCTGCACAAAACCAGATATGAAGGATAATCATTGTACAAAAGAGCTCAAGTGTTTCTGCATCTTGTAGTGGACAAGACCTGTCACATTTCTCCTCCTGCCTTTGAACCCTCTGGGAAGTGGCTGAGTCACCATTCCTGGAGGTATTGGAAAAGATGAGCAGATGTGGCACCTGGGGACATGGCTTAGTGATGGACAGTGCTGGGGGAACTCAGTGATCCTAAGGGTCTTTTCCAACCTAAATGATTCTATGGTGCTGCGATTACTTTAGGGAAAGAATCAGCAGATTTATAAGCTACAACAAGCACCAACATCACCACAGGCTGTTCTAAAAGAACTCTGCACTGCATAAGATTCAACCACCAAATTACAATTAAATCAGTAAAGGAGAACCTATGGTAATATTAGACAACACAGCAAGCTATTATTGTCTTGCTGGCTCTACTTATTACAGGAAACACTAAAAGACTCTGTTATGTCCTTTAGGTTCAGGCTCAAAAGTATTATCAAACCACTAATTCAAAGAAAAATATCTGTTGCACATTTCCCAGTTTACTACTTCAGAAATATATTTATAGTCTCCTCTATATCTGCAGATGAGGTGTCTTTCTAAATTTATAATACATTCACTGCAAAGCTCTCATAAAAGCATAATTCCTTCTCCCATATCCTCCACTCAAACATAACTCACACAGAAACCTCCTGCATCAACGAGACAGAAGAAAGCCCTTCCCAGCCAAGCCTCCCAGTCCAGCTGACACATCATTAGACCACATCTCAACATCATGCAGCACGAAAGCTTGTGCTCACTTTTAAGAAAAGATAAAGGATTTCAGCTGAAAGGCATCATCAGACCCATTTATTTGATGTTCACCCAGACAACTTTGTTTTCAAAGCTATCACTTTCTCCTGATACACAGAGTTATAGCCACCATGTGGACATAAATTAGGCCAAATGTCTTCATAAGATACTGCTAAGATTTTAATTACATGTGTCCTCAAGCCTGTAAGTGATGTCTTCCCTATCTCCCTTGGAAACCTGGACTTCACCCTTGCTTCTATCATAAATTCAAAAACTGTCAGAGGCCCTTCAAATTGCTTTTGAAATATTTCTGTACAACACCATTTTTCTAGACATCACAGACAGTATCAAAAAAATCATAGGCAACATAAAAACGATAGCTTGCAAACCACAGCAGAAAACCTAGAGATCAATTACCTTGCTTCCAGGCAAAAAGCATTCATCTAAAACATAAAGAAACACCCACTCCAACATCAGCATATTTCTGTTGATTTTATGGAACATGAGAATTCCTCTCCATCCACCATCATCCACCATGCACAAACCCAAGCTGAAAGTGACCTGTGTCTCTTTCTCAGCCCCTTGCAAAATAAGGAAGGTGTCATCTCCCTCCTAGCATTGCAGAGGGGTATCAGCTACTCCTCTCAGCAGTTTAAGTGGCACATATCCAATTAAACTCAGAAAACAGTTTCCTGTTTCTATGACAGACTCAAAGATTAACTAGTGTGGTTACAAGCTGGTGCAGTTTTTACAACTACAGCTTGGTCTAATGAACTCCAAGCTGTGTTTCAGTGACGCCCCACCGTCATCATGCCTGTAATAACAACATGATAATGATGTGCAAACACACCCTTGTAGGCTTTTTCACAGATGTCAGTGTGATGTACAGCGAGCAAACAGCCTACACTTTCATAAAGAGCAGTGTTTGCAGGGTGAAGAGCAGCTTCCCTGCTCGAGAGATTCCAAGCAGTTTATTTTCTTTCCTTCTTTGGGCTGCTAAAATAATTTTGTGAACATCATTAACACAAAACCCATTGAAAGAGCCCAAAGATTAATTTCCAAAGATCCTGTATATTCTATGTCTGTTGAAATACCTTTTCCTTACTGGGTTTATAATTATTTCACATGGGCACAATTATAACCATCACACCATATGTTTTTCTCTTTTTAATGTAATTCACTAAATTATCATCTCCTGAGGATTTAATATCTTTATTGCTTCCATATCAAGAAAATATTTTTTTTGATGCAATTTTCAGCACAATCCAGTGACATCAAGTCCCTACTTCTTTCATAATCACATTCTTTGCTTCCTGTGGCTGCTTCTGTTCCGTGACATGCACTGACATTCTCCTGCTTATCTTGAAACCTGTTCATAGAAATGTATGAGAAAGATTTCAGTATTCTATGGCTTTGCTAGGAACCCTGCAACACCTTCCAGAGCCTGAAAAACATCAAGTCTCTCTCCTAAAAGGAGTTAGCTTTCAGCAGCCATGCTCCATCATTCCATGAAACCAAGTGTCACTGTGTACCAAAACTGTCTCCAGTGCATATCTCCAGTTATTCCACCCAAAAACAGGTAGTGTCCTTACCTACAGTTATCCTGAAGGAAAATCCAGAAACTGTGCATGCTGTGAGAAGACTGAGCCTAAACCCCTCTGTGCCATCCTACCTGTGCCTGCCCTTGGCAGAGGGAACAATCAGAAATCATCCATTTGGCTTCTACACTTCTCCTAATTCTGGCAGCAAGGGACAGAATTGCATCCCAGATCTGTGACACTTCTTGAACAAGCCACATGTATAAACATGAGTATAAACAGAGCCACGGGGTCTGAAAGAAACCATGACCTAAGTTTTCCCCACTATTTTCACAGAGCCACTCCTCGTGGCTATTCTTTGTAAAGGAACAAGACAAGCAGGGTAAATTACTTCCCCCACCAGAGCAAGCTGTGCTGCATAAATAGGCAGGTTTTCAGTATTTTTTAAAGTTAATCAGCTTTTTCTAGATGTAACTCTATTTCCATCAGAATACTTCTAAATAGAGTAAGTTTCTACAGTAGAAACTTATTGTAATAAAGTTTACTGTGTAAGCTTATTGTTAATATTAGTTAAGGAGAAGCTAACACAGCTGAAGATGCTTCTCATTATGTATTGTTTTCTCTTAGCTAAACTACAAATATTTATCTTCCAATTGTTTTTTCATTAATTAATCACTTCACCATTGATTCTTCACGCTTTGCTGATGGATGGGTTGTTGTATTTCTGGTAAATTATGCCTTATGACAGGCAGTTTGCTATGTAACACAAACTAAGAAAAAAAATGCTCATTATCTTCCCCATCTATTATGTAATACTTCTATATCTGTATCATCAAAAAGGCCTTTTATGGCTTTTCCATGATACTCATAATTTCAGGGGATTTGTGTTAACTTTCACTTGAACTTGCTTGTTTTCTGAGTTGATTTTCTTTCCTAAGAAATTCTTCATTTTTGCTGTCAACTCTTAGTATGAAAGTAAAATTCACAGGATGCTTTTGATTTTATTTAGCTTAATTTCTCTATTTTTTGCTGCTCACAGTTGATCATTACAGCAATTCCATTGCAGAGAGGTGCAACGAAAACTGATTTTGCTCTGAAACAAATAGGATAGTAGGGAGGAAGAAAAACTATCTTTGCTTTATATGGAATTGAACAAATAGTGCAAAATTAATCTCAGTGGTATTGAACCCAAAAGATGCCTCTTTCCCAAAGCTCATTTGAAGGCAACCTTGAGCTCTTCTGTGTTTAATATAAGGAATATAGTACTTGGCCATTTAGGTCAATCTTTGGACTTGCAGGGTCTCAAAGTATTCTTAAAACTGTGGTGATGGACTGGGACCTAAGGATGTGTTGTCAGTGTTGTTATACTGTCAATTATGGTGCCAATGCCAACAATCCCTGGAAAAATCCATGGAAAAACCATTTTCCACTGGGTTAAAGGAACCTCTTGCTTTACCACTGCCCTCCACCTGTAAAGTAACACACATTACATCAAATTCTGAAAAAAAACCCAAAACGTGACAGAGGTGACTGATGGAATTAAGACTTCACCTCTGATCAAGTTATATATAAAAGATGGTTTTAGTTACCCAAATGCCTCATAATTAAACAGGTAACAAATGTCTGCACAGAGATGTTTAAATACAAGCCACAGAAATTTAAAAGCCATGCCTAAAAATGCAGAAGCAAAAGCCACCCAGGATTCCACAACTTTTGAGCATGTTATATTCAAATTGCATTGTTTAGGAGAGCTACTGAATTTGCCTTTTGTTCACATTATTCACATCACTGAAACATCACTTTTAAGAAACAAAGGACACATTAGCAGTTACCTCAATTTGAAAGGCTTCCACCCTGAATATTTGAGAATGCTACAGGATGTGACAAGTTTCTGTATTGCTCTCAGTGACTTTTACTGTACAAAGACTAAAATTACAGGGTTTACTCGGGATATTATTTACACTGCCTGTGGAAATAGTGCCACAGTTGTCAATTATGATAAGATCTCTCTCCTGCTTTCTTGCTAGTTCCATTTTGCTGTGTGGAGGAACAAACCCAGTGCTATCACTCTCACCAGCTGGGGAATTTATCAGCAAACCACTGGGCTCCTCCTGCCTCAGGATGTCTGTTGCCTGACTGCTATTTTTGCAATTTTAGACAACAGCTGTGGCTGGCAAACTGTGAAGAGATGCAAAATGCCAATTCTGTTTCAAAGCATCGTAAGAGAAAGTGCTGATACTCACCAAACTATTCCCTGAGCCCCAGAGCCAATAGGTTTCAAGTTCTGGTAGCGTTTGAGGACTGTGAAGGTCGAGTCACCAACTTCCACGCTGTAGAACTGGTTGTCAACTTTGCTTTTGCTCATGTTGTAATGTTTGGCAATATATGACACATCCACTTGTTTCCCAAATCCCTGTTGTACAGAAGAAGGGAAAGGGAGAGGGATTGGTAAAAAGAGAGAAACCAAGGCTGCTAAAACATCAGAATACTGATAAAGCACTCTTAGCCTAATTTTTCAATATAATTCTTGTAAATTTTGGCTCATTTTCATAAAGACTGTATCAAAACTTCTTTCATGCAGGAAGCCACCATAAAAAAGCACTGATTAAAGAAAACCAGCCAATTCTCCAGCTGATGTTTGTGACACAGTTACTGCCAACGACTGGTCTCTGCCTGCCATCACTCCTGCTTCATGACTGCCAGGTGATGTGCTCATGCTGATTCTGCCCTCCGTTGTTTTGCAATTAATTTAAAATAAGATGACTTTCATCAGTGTGGAAGTGGGGCAAGAGGCACAGGAATCAGGCTCTTCATTATGGATCAGACAGAGCAAGCAAATGTATTCTCATGAGTGCTAAAACTTTCCCTGAGCAGGTGATGAAGACCTTGAGAACCTTCCAACAAGGGTTGCAAAAGAAACAGAGCAGTTAATGAGACAAACTGTGACCCAACATGGCCCAATTTCACAGAGATTTATTCAGAAGCTCAGGAGGTCTTCCAGAGTTCTGAGTTCCTAAGGATAGGAGGGAGAGCTGCTCCCATGACCTAACAAATGCAGCAAACACCAATTTTCATGACATAAAACCCAAGCACTGAAGCTAGCACTGCACAGCAGTGTTCCTCCCCGAAACTGTAAAATTAAAAACCAATAATTTTTACAAGACTTTAAAAAACCCTCCCTCAAATTTGTAAAATTACCATGCAGCAAATTACATTACAGCCACTTTATGACTACTGCTGAGATAAGTTCCCTATGGACTACAGAGCAAATCTATAGTCATTTGAGATAAAAATCAGAATTAAGTGCTTGTAATTTAGGATTCTATAATACATGATGCTGAGCACAGGATGCAAAAGCTCAACATATTACAACACATCTGCCCTAAAAGAGTTGACAGTTCAGTTATGGAAATCAAAACATGCTCAAGTGCCTTCTATAAAGGAAAAACAAAAACCAGCTATGCCTGTCTATGCATTCTTTTCAGTGCTCTCAAACACAGCTTATAAATGTTCTTATTTGCTCTATTACAAATTTCTTTCCCCCAAAAAGACCTGAATGATCATACATATTATGTGTTTATGGGCTAAGTTGAAATTTGATGGAGCTGGGAAAAAGTAAAGTTGATTTTGATTACATTCAATTACTCTTTCAATTTAAAAAGACATCATTTCAGTTTTCCAAAAATCTGGCCATTTAAAACAGACTACTGACCTTCCAAAGAATTTCGGTTTTAAGGTTTGTCTTGGAAAAATTATTATTATTTTTCTGTGCATTTTCTGACTGGAAGGCACTTTGGCACAGGACAGCATCACCCTAAACATCTCATTTAGAGACTTTGAAATGCTGTAATAAATGCAGCTCTTCATTCAAACACAAAGTCTCATCTCAGGAGACCAAGTGGAAACTTTACATTAACTTGTTCATCAAACACTGTGAGGGGGAGAGCAGGGGAGGCCTTGCCCTTAACACAAAAAGTGAGAAATTTACTGACACAGTGCTAAATTGGAGCTTCCAGAGAGTGAAATAATTCCAAAAGAAGTTTGAATTTTTCTTATTGGAAAACAAAGAGGCTGCACCTGATTCACACTGCATATCCTTAGTCTTAAAACATCTTCCATTCAGTGAAGAGAGATTAATAAATTTGGCTATTCAGCTCAGGTATTCATACCTGAGCTGGAACTGAGAGGTTTTTTTGAGTATTTTTAATAACACACTCCCGATTGACAGGAATTTCACAGCTCCCTCTGGCTAGACAAACACATTTGGAGCGTGTTTTTCCTGATGTCATTATCAGAACAACGCAGGACATATCCAGCATTAACACCCATTACTCTGAAACCAATGTTTATGTATAAAGTGTCAGCAGAAAAATTGCATTCCTGAGTGAGCCTGACTCACAGCCAGCTCCTCTGGAAGCTCAGATAGAGTGAATTTTTAAACAAATGGGATGACTCTGTTAAGGCTTGGATGAGCCAGGCCTGCCAGAACTTGTTTGTGTCCTCACTCCCAAGCCCCCTGACAGCTTGTTGTGTGCCATGGAGCTACATGGGAGCACATATTTTATCACTCTATGTCTAGAATTAAAAATTACTTGCTTTTAAGTTAGCCTGACCGTGTGAACTACTAGCCTCAGGAAACTCATGCTGCATACAGTGGGATTTCTGAACTGCTGCACTTCCAGCAGCTGGGTCATTTAAATCCAGAAATGTCTTTAAAAAAATCAATTAAAACAGCTCAGAAGAACCACTCTGTAGTACCTCAATTATATAGACAATTATTATATCCAATTGCTTCAGTCAACAGCAATTAAAGTTGTGGACCCAGAAGACTACAGCTGATAGGAAAATGCAAATGTCCTGATGAGCAGCTCTCCTCTGCACAACACAGACCATTCCTATGACAATCTGCTCCCAGCTGTGTGTGAGAGAGAAAGCTGAAGACTGTTTTATTTTTCACTGAATAATTTTTTCTTTTTAGAACAGTATCTTTTCTCCTACTTTAAAATTTGTGCCCCATAACGTCTTTGATAGAAAACACTAATTTACTTCCAAAATTCAAGGCAGGCTGATTTAGTTTGAAGTCTATTTCAAGCAAAATGTCTCCTCTGAGTAACAAAAATTTCAGCTTTGTGGATAGGCCAAAGTCCAGGTAATCTACTAAGTTGCCTCCTCGCTTTAAACCCACACTGCCAAAAAAACTACAAAAACTCCCTTACTCTATATTTTCTAATTTTTGGTAAAAATAAAATAATTTGGTAAAAATAAAATAAAGGAAAAAAAATGGTAAAAAATAAGCAAAACAAAAATTAAATGAGCAAAATAAAAGCATAGTAAGGTTACTAAACCTCAATGCACTGCTTACTTCCATAATAACAGGAGATGAATGATATAACTATCCTTGTCATGATGCTGACTTAACTCAAATCCCTAAGTCAATGAATTAACAGCATTATTGGATTAATCACATTTGATCAGATCCCCAAGCCAAGCTGACACATAATCAAGAATCATCTCTGGTTGATTCAACAGCCACTTCCTAATGAGGACAAGGAAATGGCAGTTTTGTTTCACTCCAAAATTAAAGTAAAAAATCTTTTCCCTTTAGCAAGGAAATTCATATTCTTTATAGAGCACGTCAATGTTAGTTTTATTTTCAAATCCCGATGAAAAGGCTCTTCTCCAAATCTTCAGATTCACATGGCTCATCTTAAAGAAGCCTACACTCTACATTTTTCTCTTCTCCTGTTACATCCTCAGTGCTCATTTAAACCCTTTCCAGAAGCCTTGGTGCTGTTACAGATATTGATATTCCCCCAGATACCCCCTTGAACGCCTCTAAGCTATTTCAGATTCAGGTTTTACTGCACAATGCTTACAAGTCCTGTACAGGCAGCTTAAGTTAAACCTTTTTTGTGGCATCAGAAAGGAACCCAGGGCTAGGAATTTCCAGTGTACACCATTCTGTAGATGCAGCTAACCATCAACTCCTTTCAAATGTGACTGAGACCAACATCATAAGAAAACCAGGAATTAGCACTTCATTAAGAAATACATGGGGGAAGGAAGTTTATAGATATACATTGCAATCAGGATATCACAGTAAAAGTGTGTAGGTCTCATATAGTAAAGTGAATTCCCGTGAGTTAATAAATTTTCAAGTGAACTTCAAATGAACTTGGCAAGCTACAATACTTGCCCCAGATTAACAGTAAACATTGCAGGTGTGAAACTTCGAACAAAACACATCTAAGTTCCTCAGACCTCTGTGTAAGATGAAAGATTATTCCTCAGAGACAAAGTATGCATGGAAATGCCATTTGTTCTTAGCTTCCATAAACATTTGGACAATGAAACGACATTACTTCAACACTGATAGGAACTTGGCTTTCATTTCATACATACAAAAATGCATGAACCATTATTTTCTCCTTTCAGTACCTAATTGAAAACTTCTAATGCACACACACACATTCACCAATGCCATTCTCTTTCCTCCACACCGAAAAATTTAAGAGTAAGAGAAGTGAAAATTTCTCAGCCCTGAAAACCTAACTATCCTTGTTAGCTCACTTGAGCATATAGCCACATTTGCAATGATGTTTGCTTAGTAACTTGACAAGTGAGAAAGAGGAAAGAAAACAAACTGTCAAGACTCAAGCATTTGAGATGAAGGAGAAAGATAGTCTCACCATTGCAGTTTAGAGAGTATATATTTTGCTTTCAAAGGACAAGTATTTAAAAATTCAGTGGAACTCAACTTACTGCCTCACACAGAGCTACAAATGTATTCTTTTCCTTTCTTTCAGAGTACAGAGAGCAAAAGAGTTAAAATCCCAACAGAAATAAAATTATTTTCTATATTATAAGGTGAATTGCTTCCTGATATCCCATTTTATTTGTCCATTTTTATCCTACAAAAAAACCTATACTTATTATATTTTACTGACAGATCCTTGTTCTGTCATTCCTTCTATTATTGACAAGCCTCAAACATGGCAATTTCTTGCAGCTCAGCATCTCATACATTTCAGCTTTTATAAATACAAACCATGCTAGCAGCAATTTGAGGCAAATTGCTCTCCTTTGCATCTCCAAGACAGTGAGTGCTGCCACAGATTCTGCTGGCAGCATCAGCAGAGGGGAGACTTCACCTTCCCTGTCTGCCCACAGAAATCCAGGCAGGAATGCTCGTTCGAGGGTGCCGCGATGCAAGGCTGCTGAAAACAATTAAAGCTGTGTGTAAAGGCAGGTGAGTGAAGGAATCAGATGGAAGGCTCAAAGGCTGACCCCTGGCTTGCAGCTGGCACAGAGCCCAGGGCTGAGCAGGATGGAGCAGAGAGGATGCTCTGAGCCACACACCAGGATGGCTCCCCCACATCTTCACCCCGCCTCAGACAAAGAGACTGGGGTGGATGCCTTTGGATGCCCCGGGATGCAAAAGGATAATATCCTAAAGCTACAATTTAACCTTAAAGGTCAAATGTTGTACAGACTGAAATTCATGAGTGTGGTAAAACCCTCAGCCTTCTGGCCAGTTCTGAAAATGTGCATGAGAGGCAAGCCCTGCTCACCTGGGTGCATCTGCTAAGCCAACAACACTGAATTTAATGGCTCAACTCCCGCTTGCACAGCTCTAATTCTCACAGAAGCTTCAAGTGCCAGAATTCTGGCTTGAACATGAATTTACTGAGCCCTCTGCTTTGAATTTAACAGCTTTTGCTGTGCAAATCTGAATGGCCACAGAAGCTATCACTTGAGAAATAGAGAGTATCTTTGCATAGAAAAATCCACTGAATTAATTTAAATTGTGTATTCTATATATGACACATTTATGGCAGAAGTTTTATCTATTTTTTTTTCTCCATAAAGCCAGACATTTCACTTATTCTGGCTCTCCCTGAACTCAAAAGTCCATAAGCAGTGATCCAATCTCCTACACAGGGTTTCATCTTGTGTATGCATGGTTGGATGTAATATTACAGATTTTGGTCTTACCAGCCACATCACAGTTCTCCATTCTTCCACCTCATTCTCCTCCTGGGAGGCTTGTATTAGTCACCCATTCTTTCTGATTTTAGTGTGTTTTGAGTGGGATTTAAAAGCTAATTTCCTTTTAATTCTCCTTTAAATCTCTCTCCAGCTGCCTTGCCCCCCAGACAAGGGACTTTCTGCATTTAGCCTTTCAAGCAGACAACTGACCCCTGCAAAAAACTCAGCCTTGATTGATCAGTGATTGATCTTTTTTACATTTGCTTTATTCACTCTATTTCAAGACATCATATTAAAGTACTTTGTTAAATGTAGTACAACATTTCTAAGTGCTGGTTGGGTTGTTGTTTTTTTGGGGTTTTTTGGGGTTTTTTTGTAAGGTTGGGGTTTTTGTAGTTGTGATTTTTTCTTTATTTGTTTAAACACTCTGTCCTTGTTCAACCTCTTCTAAGTGAGATACCAAAAACCCATCAGCTTGCCTAGCTCTTGCCTAGTTCTGATTACACACAAAACAGCAAGACTGCTTTCTCCTTTTCAATTCTATCTACTCAAAACATGAAGCAAAGCACTATTTACTTCTTCTTCTCTTGTCCTCCACACGTTCACTGAGCTCTAAGTACTTTTAATTCCTTCCTTCTTACAGGCACCAAATTTTCATAGCTCACTTATAACTGTGGTACCATGTATTGCTCAGCAGTCACAGAGTCCCAGAGGTGTGTCCTTCATTCCAGGCCAGACATCAAACAGATGAGCAATCTATGAGTATCTGCACAAGAAAACACGACTTCCAAAGATTCCTCATGCCCCTGATGCCTGCAGAGCTCAGTGCTCACACACAGGTGACACCCAGCCCTGGTGTCACACCAAAGAAGATTGAAAGGACTGATTAAAAAGCACTGAAAGAAAAAGGTTCCTTGAGACTGAGGTTTCTCTATGGAGAGGAACCAAACCAGTGATCCAAATGCAAAATGTAGCCAAAGATACAGGAGAGAAAGTAGATTTCTCAATAGAACTATATAATTACAGTATTCAATGTGAAGACAATAGCTAATGAAAGGATTCTCTCTTTCACAAAGACTGTATAGAGCTAAATAGTCACACCTTGAGCTAGAAACAGACAGCTCTTGACCCTATGAAGTATCATTTTATTCATAGAAATCTAATTTATCAATTGTTGACAACTTTTGAATACCAACTAATCTCCCATTGAATAAAAGGCATAATCATAGGACACACTACATTTAAAATTGTATTCTAAATAAAGGTATCCCATGTACCTACAGCTTAGGGAACATGTAAATTCTGACAGGCTATACATGTCTTGATATTGATTTAAAAAAAGATACTGAAAGACTAAATGAAGAAAAAAATGAATGAAGAAGTCACTATTCTTTTGGAATTGTTACATATTGTTAATATATTAGTATTAAAATTGAATGTCCTATTCTACTCATACTACTCTGCATTACCTTGTGCTACAATAAAAATGTGTAGGGTCCTACAGATAAAAGCTGGTTGGTGATACCAACCTTACAAATGAAATTCCATTGGCCTTCTTGTTCTACTTTTCTGTTATGATACAAAAGCAGATGTCCTTTTCCTCATGTTTCAGAACATGAATTGGCTACCCATGTCCAGTAATTCCAGACTTGGGTGTTTTTACACTGCAACCAGGGTAAAGGGCTGGGGAGTTATAAATGTACCCTACTTATGCACCTGAGTCTTTCTCAGGAAGGGCCATTCTGTTTTTTCCTTAAGTTGGAAATCCTTAAAATTCTATTCCTGCTGAATTAGCATTTCATTGTACAAAACTAGGATGCTCAGTGACATAAGCTCTATGTCAAAGAGAAGAGCCTTTAATTATGTATATGTCACTTTCCTTCAGAGCACATAAAGCTATGCCTTTTAGGCCACAAATATATATTACAAGAAAAATTACACCCCTAAAAGTACTAAAAATAATCAGGGCTCTCTTCAATATTGGAGCTTTAAGAAAGGCACTTCAGCACAAACACTCTGGAGAAAGTCTGCAGTGAGACATAAATTTCAAATGGAAGCAGGAATAAGAATGGAATAAACAATATTACCACCTGGACATTATTCCCAGTCTCTAAATAAAGATCTGGATGCTTGGACCAAGGACAGAGATATAACCCCTATCCCACTCTAAAAAATACAAATGAACAGCATCCAAGACAGGTTTTAATGCAACCAGACACTTAATTTAGAGACTGTTCTTGCACATAGTTCCAGCTGTTATTTGGATCAGGGCCTATCTTTATGGAGAGAATAAATTAACATGAAGCTTAAATCAGTTTTTATCCCCAAGAGAATCGATCTGAAGGTCTGAAGACCTTGAAAAGGCATCTATGATAAGTGCTTGAAGGATGGGATTCTGCTCCCTACAGTGTCAGGGTAGTATCTCTTTGTATGTACTTAGTGGATGAAGCCATTCTGGGTACCTGCTGCAGCCATTAAATAGGAATTAATCTTACTCAGTGATAAAAATGCATCCAAGAGATGTATTCAAGCATCCAAGACAGGAGAGCTATGCAAAAAAACTCTATTCTGCACAGTGAAAGTATTTTTTCATCAATAACACTTTTCTCATACAATCTGAGAAAAAAGCACCCTTTTTTGCAATTTTTACAATTTTTTTTTTTTTTTGGAAGCGAACTCTGTCAAAACATTACAAAAATACTACGTTTGACAAAGCTGCCAGTGGAAGAATTAAGCCAGTTAAACACAGGCACATGAAGAACGGGTGATAAAAAAAGAAAAAACAGTTAAGCAGATTATCAAACTGAATAGCCAAGACCCATCCCAGAGCTGCTGATTCCTAAGTCCAGATTCAACCTCCTCAGCAGAATTAATATTTAGTGTCCCTTAGTTAAAAAACATAAAGCAAACTTTCCAAAACCTGTCACTGTTTCGTGTTAAATGCTTACATACAAGTAATAGCCCCTTCCTTTTTACAATTCAGTTTTCTCTTGGACTCCATGTGTAATACAAAAGAAAAGAAATAGTGTTTATCATAAATTCATTTCTAAGAATGCAGTATTGTTTTCAGCCTCAAAAAGTGAAGAATGTCCCTGATACCTCTCCAGTTAGTTAGATTACTGATGTCCCATCTCCCAAAAAACCTTAGAACTATGAGGAGAGAGAATTCAAGCACAAAATACTGTTCAGAAGTGAGCAAAAAAGTAATTTCATTCACAAGTGAAAATTATGCACACAGATATGCAACTAAATATGTTAACTAAATTAAACAAGAGAACCAAAAACTGGATACATCAGTAAGTTTTTCTTTACATCAAAGATTTAGTTTCAGCATTGTAGGCTTCCATACATTGTGACCAAACAATTTCAAGGGTGATGTAGAAATGCAGAATTGGCTTTAGTGCAGTCTCATGGCTCCAGGACCTCAACAGCTCATGGTGTTCAATGGGAGACAAGACAAACACCACCATTTTAATTTATCTTCCTTCACTTCCAGTACAAGTAAACAAAATTATAGTCACAGTCTACAGTGTAAAAAGTTCTGTCTCAGAAAAACAGAGACTAAGATAAAAGAGTTTTAATTTGCAGTTTTTCTGTATGAAAATCATGCCATTATTTTTCACTAAAAAACCCTCCAAATATTAACTGATAGTTTATCAAAACAAAATAAAAATTATTAAGACCAAATTAAAAAAATAAACTTGAGGGCAAATACAAAAGTAATACTTTGTGATGCATTTCTCTATTTTTTTGTATTTATTCTCATTTTTATAACCAGTTATTTGCAGTAAGCTGTTAGCAGTTCTATTTTTCTCTTATTGTAACATGTATTGCAAAAATGAAGTACAAGTATATACTGTACCTTGTTTTACCTGTAAGGAACACACACCTGACAAAAGGCAATCTTCACATCCAGAGTAGGTTCACCAAAATAATACAAGAAATGGCGGCTCATAAATACCTGCAATTAAAGAAAAGTAGACATGGAAATCTTGTCTGGCTGCAGATGTGCAAGAACAATGCAGCTCTAGCTTCACCTGGATTCTAAAACCAACCTGATTTGTTACCCAGCTTGTGAAAACCAGAAATGTTATAATACTGAACTGTAAAAATTTATTTGATTTCTTTAAAGAAAGATTTTAAATTTAAATTATTTAAATTCTTTCCAGTGCCTGTCAAGGCTATGGTCCCAAATATGACTTGGTTACATCTGGAAAACTTTATAGTAGCTGATGCCATTAATATGAAGTTTAGCATGTCACTTACATATTCCTACACCAACAGCAACAAAAAATCAGGTCAATTATGTTCTAAACAATGTGGGAATAGAAGACACTTATTATTATGGGGAGGGAAAAACCTAAGCTGACAAGTATTAGTAAAGTTATAGAAGAGGAAAAACTAGTTACATCACTGTGTAAATTCATCCACTTTGTGAACATTCCATGTAGTTCTGGTCTTGATGTCCTACCACTACAAAAGCTACAGGAAAGGGCAGCAACAAGGGTCCAAAGCATGAAAAGATTCCTTACATGAAACAACTGCACAGAATTTTTTTTTTATCCTAGAAAAGAACTGAGTGGAAATATGCTGGAGATACATAAAATGAGTGGGATACTGAAAAATGAAAAGGAAAACACCCTTCCATATTTTTTTTTCAAATAAAAGTGGCACCAAGTTATGTTATCAGAGTTAGAATCAACAATAGGAAATAATTCTTCATACACTGTTTTGTCACAATGAAACTCTGTCTCATGTTGCTGTGGAAGCCAGAAGTCAACATAAGCACTAATATGATCAGGCAAATTCACATAAGAAGAAATCTGCTGAAGGCTATTAACCTCGAAAATATCACCCCTGAGTCACAGTCTGCCACTCCATGCCCAGCCTATTTCTGGATTTCCCAGGCATCTGATACTGGCCCAGGGAGCCACAGACTGCACTAGACAGGCCTCCCTGTGCACCCTGTTACTGCTGTTTTAACTTAGTTCCACAGCACCACATCCAGCCCTGCCTAACCAGTCCTGTCCTAGCTACATCCCAGCATGGCACATCACTGGCAAACACCTACAGCAATGTTATCTGCTGAGATAGGCAGCTATGTCACAAGGCTTTGGAGAACATAGATTCTTCTGCATGACTCCGAAAAAACCAGAAAAATCCCAGCCAAACACATAAAAAAACCAACAAAAACCTGTTAAAAGTATGATGAAAAAACTAGCAACTTTTAGCTAAAATTAGATCAGTTATATAGAACTCCATGTTTTTCTATTAAATATAAGCTCATTGTAAAGACTTAAAAATGAAAACAAAACAACCATCCAACCATCACTCCATAAAGTTATGATTCTGAAACACTATGTAGCTACTTATGGCACTTGTCTTCAGTAGGAACAATTAACTTCAATTGTAAATGGCACTAAATAAGACAAGACTTAATTTGGAGTAATTTCAACTCACACGAATTGATCAGGAGTAAAGAAACTATAAGAAAGTATTCACCAATACTTGCCAACTTCAATGCATCATGTGCTCCCACATGTGTTTAATTTTTAATGAATGAATATATGAATAATCCTGTTATGAAAGCAAGTTTATGACCTTTTCTGCATCACATTACAGTGTCTAAGATTGCTGTCTCACTGGCCACTGAGTCATTACCAGAGTCTCATATTCCACAGAGGGTTTATAATGGTTTATATTAAAACAAAAAAGAAGAAAGGAAGCTTTTAAAAAAAAAAAGAAAAAAAACCCAAAACTTTTAACATTAGTCATATTGCCAATGATTTCTGGAAAGCCAGCAGGTAATTACACTGTCATGCTGCAGATATACTCACTGGCTGCATGCATTACATTGCTATAATAATCAATGACTGAAATGTCAGTAGCTGTGACAGACCATGTTCAAGACAGAGATTAATGGTGGAAAGTGAAGAAAGGAAGGAAGGGGAGAAAATGGGGGAATTTGGTTTCTCCCTGAATGTGCTGTGAGGGTCTATTGAGAAGTCATACTTTGTATTATGCATGCATTGCTAGTCACACCCAGCTCCTCAGCTGTCCACAGGAATTACTGTGACTGTTAATAGTCACCCTGGGCACAACAATAGACTGGTGAGTTTCATGAACTGGAATGCATTTTAGAATTGATGATGTTGTCCTTGTGCGCAGTTAATGCTTATAAAATAATAGAAGCATGATATGTTTTAATGGGCTAGATCAATACTCATATTCCTCTGTCCATGAGACACACGGAATCAATCACTACGGAGCTGAGTTCCTCCAGTTGTACAACGGGAATGACTGCCACCTTTCCATGGCACACAAAGGTGTACCCAGCACAGAGCAGACTTGAATTCATGTTTTAAAGTGTTTCTTGAATTCGTGCAAGGTTCCCTTCGATGCCCTGTAATTAATCATACATGTATGTAACTTCTAATTCCTTCAGGCAGAAAACAGATTCACACTCAGCTGCGCAGATCTCCTTGATCACATCTCCTCTGGTGCGAGCTGACACCACATCACTAGAGATGTTTAAGAAGTGTCAGAATAAAGAACTGGCCTGATGCTGAGATAATTGTGTTACAACATAAAGCAGTTATAAAACAAGAAGCTACTGAGACAAACAGCATCACTCACCAGGGACTGGAGCTTTACGTGAGAGCATAAGCATCCCATATTTCTTTACCCCACTTCTGACACTTTACCTTTTCAATATTGAGTGAAATTACTCAAGGGGGGAAGAACTGGGAGAACAGAACATTGCTGATTGAATAAAATACTCTGGGAAGCCAGAGACTGCAGTAACATCACAAGGAGAAAACCTATCTGTGAAACACCAAAGCCACAATTGGATCCCAAATCTTCATCACAATCAAGGCATCTGTATCCCAGAAGCCATAAAAACATACAAGACTCAGCAGCAAACACACGATGTACTTTCAGGCAAAGCAAAACGAGGAAGCACTAAAATCAGGAGGAGGAAAGTAGCCATGAAGGTAAGAGAAAGAAAATCCTGAATATCCTCTGAGCCCCCGAGGGAACTGCTGGCTGCAACCACTAAGGCTTGGCCTCTCCCTAGCCTGCTGCTTTGCCATCCTCTTCTTCACTCCACTCTTCCTTCCTTATGGAAAGCTGTTCTTCAAAACGGAGTGTGGACTAAAGACATGCCCAAATTTCATAAACTTCTCTTTACCTACAGTGCTCTTATCAAATCTTCCTTTTCTGTTACAAGGACTTTTAATAATGGTTATCTGTCTCTCCAGGGGTCAGGAGGATTACCTAATTATTATTCAACCAGCTCTTTGAAGACTGAAGAGATTAAATCAATACTCTTAGTATAATTATTGAGAGCAGAGAAGAAACCATGCAACGAGAGCGGTTAAAACAGACTAGAAAACCAAATATTGCTTCCCACAGCAAACCTTTCTGTTCGTCCTAGAATTCTTTCCTCACCCTCAGTGCTGTATGATATTGTACCCAGGGAATATCTGGGCAATTTGGCCCAGTCAGATTAAATCTTTTGGCCTAGGAGTGTTGTTTTCTACCCAGGCTGCACTTTCCTTCACGTAAGTGGCTCCTGGATCATGGACAGGGAGACTGTGTTTGCCTTAAGCCTAAGAGATGCAAACCTCAAGTCTGAGGGGTCTGGGCTGTTGCTGTGTTGTTGCAAGGAGAGCCTCAGCACTTACACCCACCACGCTGAGCTCTTTTATCTGGAAAAAGCATCACAGTCTCTTCCTTTTGAGAGAATACCTTCCTGATGGTTTCTCATCCCTGCATCCCCTAATCAGCAGGTATGTCCCTGATGCCCAATGGAGAGTGTCTCAGCCTGTCACAGTGTATTTAAAGCCTTTTGTGAAAGTTCAGAAGGCCAATGTCAATCCTCAAGAAAGTTCCGTGTAACTTTTTAATTCAGGGAGATGAAGGAGCCAGCTGCCCTGCTGCAACACTGCTTTCTTCATCGCAGTCCAGGCAGGCAGGCTGCTCATCTCCCCCACAGCACAACCATCTGTGTCAAATGCACTGATCCAGGGATAAAACAAGGCTCTTCATGAGGAAAAACTGCAACAGCTGTTTGACCTGTGTTTAAACCAGTGTTGCTGCACTCGAAATGAATATCCCAAACTAGCCCTGGTGCTGCTCTCATCACTTCCCATGCTCCTGAGACTTTACTTTGAGCGGTATTTACATGCCTATGACAAAATAAAATGGAAACAAATGCTTAAATTCCTAATTTAAAAAGTAGCTTCACATGGAATTTAAAACAAAATTTAGAAGTGCAAGTTCCAATTTAAACAGGAATCAAATGGCAGCTGGAGATAAAGTAGAAAGAGCTACTTGTATATAAAACTTCACTAGATTTAAACCTGGCATAGTGTGGCTGCAAACTGGAAGGTTGTAAAAGAATCACAGGACATTTAATATCTATGCCAAGTCCCATCAATTGTGATAATCTCAATAATAAAGGGAAGCAATATATATTCATATCAAGTAATCAAATCCAGCATTTCTGTTTATTTGATATTAGCACACAAATACATGGCATATGCTCAATGGGTACTGTTAATGTGCTCCCTATCTTCACTGACTGGTAGTTCTTTACTTGTTCTACAAAAGGAGAATTAAACTATTTATTACTACCTCACTACATTTCATTAATGAACATAAAGATTCAGGGCATGAAAAAAATTAATGACATAGCACTATTACCTAAAGTTATTTAAAAACCCCATCCTGTCCTAATTCAATGAGAGGGGGCAATTGATCTATTCAGTTGTCACTTAAAAACCTTCTTTAAAAACACTAATGTTCAAAGATTAACATTCATTAATTATTAATGCTTCCTGTTTTGAAAATGAGTTTGAATAATTTCATGCACTTCCAGTGCTGGAATTCCTCTCTCCTTCATCTGAAAATACATACTCTCACTACATTAAAAGTTCTCTGAATCTTTCAGTAATG